TGTAAAATAAGAACATAATAAGAATAATTGAGCCTGAAATTGGCAAAAAAAAAAAAAAAAGTTCGCTGTGAGCCTGGGCAAAATTTTACGCTTATAAAACAAAAAAAGTTTAATTAATATTGTAGAGGGAATGAAACACACAGCTCTATGGTTGAGATGCTGAAATTTTACTCTTTATAAAACCAAAAAAGTTAATAAAGTTAATATTGTAGGGAACAGTGGCAGCTCTAGGATACATTTTCTGGGGGGGCTGAGCTGTCCAATAGAGGGACTTGGGCTGGTAGGCCCGAGCCGGGGAAAAGGTTTGAGAGGGTGTTCCCCCTCCCAAATGAGATTTTTTTAAGAACAGGAACCTCTGGATGGCCAGAAATGACACACAAATGATTGTGACAGACATGTGTTGGCTTGGCGTGGGCCTATTTTTATATATTTTTTAGTCCGACTGCCCGACGAGCTCTGTCCAATGGGGGACTTGACCTGTCCGGTGGGGAGCCTAACCCCCTGCTGCCGTGCCATCCTCCTCCCCGCTGGCATCGCCACTGTGAGGGAATCAAACACACAACCATATAGTTAAGATGCTGAGTCACATCATGTGCACTAAACACCCATCATAAACAATAAATTTAAACCAAGAGGTTTTAAAAATAGAGTGAAAATAGAATTACAGTAAACAACTGCAAACAGAACACTCACCATACTCTAGATTCAACTCACCATATTTTTACAGTGCATCAAAAGATAACGGCTAACTTTTCAACTTTCAAAAAATAATTATTATAAAGCGACATAAACTATTAGCCTATGGTTGAGATGCTGAACCACACCATCTGCACTCAACAACTCCAACAATATATATAAACGAACAGACTTTAGAATGGAGTGAAAATAGATACGTGCAACAAACAACCGTCAAGTGAACACTCACTCTAGAATCTTCTCATAATATTGTTTTCAATGCACATCACAAGAACGCAACAGTCCAGATGGCTAACTATTCAAATTTCGAAGTATTTTATCCCAAAAAAACAAAACCAATTTTAATTTGGATGTGAATTCAATTTAATATTGCAAGCATGAATTGCTATCATGATAGACCAATAGAAAATTACTCTCATACTCTCTTCTTCCTGTAGAGCCTCTTGAGGACTTCCTAGAAGATAACAATCTGCGTTTTCACTATGTACTGTGGGTGTGTTTTCTACTGAATATCGAGACAGAAACAGTTCTCTAATATTATTATTGGTTGGTGAAATGATTACCTAAACACAGACTAAAAACCTGCACTGCTACAAATTATTCTTGGTCAGTTGGATTACAGAATGATTCTTCATCACAATAAAACAGTTGGCAGATTGAGGAATTTGAAGCAGAGGGGCACAAAGAGATTGTCACAAATGGAATGTTTAGACCACTCAGGCCCATAGCCAGGTTCTTTAGGTGGGTGAGGGGGTGGGGGGGGGGTTTCCTGGACATGATGTCCACAGTCGAAACCCTGGTGGGGTCGGCGAAACCCCCAAAGCAAGAGGATTTTTGTGCTTTATAGGTCTAAATAATGCTAAAACTAGCAGATATGTTTGAAAATGTCTGTGTCTGGGTGGGTCGGAGGACTTACTTGGGAAATTTAAAGAAGGGGTTTCGCCAGAAAAGAGGGGGGTTTTCTAGAAAAGGGGGTTCTCCCGAACCATAAAAAGGCAGGCCCTGGATACGGGCCTGCCAATTCAGTCCCACCCTGGTTGGGAAAATTAACTATTAAGGCACTTTTAGATGGCTGAAAATGGCACTCTCAGACCAGACCAGCTACCCACATTTCATTTAAAATGCAATTGGAAATCACGTTTCTAAATTGCTATCAATCTCACTAAAACTCTGAAAAAACAAAGGTACTACTGCTACCATAACATTACTAATATTTAAAAATTTGCTCTAAAACACAGTAATCATTTTCAATTATTTCCGAGAGGGTGTTCAGATACAGTACGAATCATTGGCAATTATCCAAGTAATTATTCATGAAGTTTGAGTATGACTAATAAAAACCAGAAACGTTTTTAGAACTTCAAGGAAAATACAGATTTGCTTCTGCAAACCTTTGTGTTGCTTCGTCACCATCGTTCAGAGAACATAAATAATAATTTGTAATATCTCAATATCAATATTGTTTTGGTCACGTTAAAACTAATTAGATTATAAATGAACTTATAATATATGTTATGATTCATAATTCTCACTAATTTTGCTGGTTTCGCATCATGAGTATTTAAATATTCTTTATATCATATTATGTACTGGTAATTGTTTTGAAAATGATTAAAACGTGAGGAAGTTATTACGTTAATGATTATGGAGTTAGGTAATTCTTGTTAATGCACTCAACAGACAATCACGAATGTATAGTACTGTTGATTACACGCATAACTAGGAATGCTCCACAGGGGAGTGGAGGAGGATGCAAGTTGTGTTGATTGATTCTGAATCCAAATGATGACGAAAAAGGCGCCTTGAGCATTTTCCTGGGTATGTGTTATACTGTAAATCCTTTTAAACGTTGTTAATAATAATAAATAATTAACATTTTTCAACCATTTTGTTGAAGTCAGGAAGGTAAACTCCAAATATAACAATATAAAATTATTGAATGTAGTTAAAGAATACAATATTTGGACATTACCACGGAATAATAACAATAATACAGTTAAACTTTCTTTCGAAATATTTCTAAGTCGATCTAATTTACATGCCAAATATTGTGTTTTCCATTAATTAACAATCTGTCAGTCAAATTTTATCTAAGTCGAACAATATTTCAATGGCATTTTGGATTCAACTTTGGCAAGTTCAACTGTAATAATAATAGATGGATTTATATTGTGCGAATAAACAAAACTCGACAATACTGTCAGGTAAAGAAGACTAAAAAAAAAGGGTGGATTAAACAAAACAAGAAAAAAAAAACAATAAACACCAACCTAGCAGCCAAACCAAAAATATAAGGTTACACAGTCAGCGTCAACTGGAGATTTGTCTTATGTACTCCAGTTAGCATTGGTTAAGTCTTGATCTTTTCTGGGATCAGGTGCCTCCTAATCTGGATAAAACAACAAACAACAGGAGAAAACAGAATTGTCTACTGGTATACAGTACAGGTAATACTCATTTTACACCCACTCCGGGGGTGGTGGAACTGTACAATGTTTAGCCCATGTCCCAAGGGGCAAAAAGTTAATTTCCCTAGATGCCCTACAGTTGACCGTATTGAGCTGACTTTAATAATGAATACATTTTGATTTGTATTGTAATCAAATTTCCATGAACGATTGCATGAATTAATGATTACAAATTGACGAGCATTCAAAGAGTATACCCTAGGGCTTACAAATCAGACTTGCATAAATTTTAAAACTTAATTCTTTTCAAAATAATTCCAATCGCAAGCTGAGGTATAACCATTTGTTCAAAAGCGAGCATGTTGACTTTATTACTTACAACTAATCATGGCTTAATTCTTTTCAAAATAATTCCAATCGCAAGCTGAGGTATAACCTTTTGTTCTTAAAGCGAGTATGTTGACTTTATTTTTTACAACCAATCATGGACAGGCTTTTCTGGATGATTACAAATTGATGAGCATTATAAAAGATAGTTAGTCCATGATTGGCTGTTGCAGAGTATTGCTCAATTTACAGTACTGTACCTCTAGGGCTGGCATTACAGTTATGTACTGGTATGTCACAGGTCCCGAACTAAACTACATTAAGATGAACTGAGCTACTTAACTTAATATTAACCTTTGACTTTTAATTTCTCCTAAGATGAGAATATTTATATTTTTCATCAATTTGGTAAAGATTATATTACACTATACAGTAGTACCCTAGGGCTACTCAATCAAACACTCATGAATATTTAATGAACTTAATATTATAAATGTAAATTCCTTTCAAATTAAATTCAATCTCAATGTGGTTTTTCACAATCCGAGACAGTGAGACACAGCAGAATATTTATGCTGTCTCCCAGATTGTAAAAAATCACAATCTCAGACACAGCATTGTCTCAGAATGTGGTCTTTCACAATCTGAGACACAGCATAATATTTATGCAAATGTGTTATTCTGCAATAACCAATCATGGATACTGTTTCAGGATGATGACATTTTATTCACTATTTTTCTCATACCATTCTGTATATAATTTGTATTGCAACCAATTTGAGGTTGCCCTGCAACAGTGTAGAAAAGTAAGCCATCAAACAAATCAAAACAGCCACAAGATGAGCCACAAGATAGGCCATTTGGAATCTACAGTAAGTGTGGACAGGATGAATAGTAATTAGTTAAGCCTTAAAGATCATGGGACTTTCACTCTCAGGAACAGATCCATTGAGGGAGAGGGTGCCTGATGTGTTTGGGAAAATGGAGCTTGATATATGTGACGATGATGCTACTGTATGTCACAAAATAAGATGATATGAGGTGATTTTTAACTACCTGTACTTGAGCGTAATTTTTTTGCTTCAAACATTTTCAATGGGGGTGGACGGGAGGTACACTGGGGGATCAGCTTTTTTTGGGAGGCAGTGAGCCCCCACTCCCACTAAGCCTACAGTGCGAATAAAATGTGTCCGTGAATGAATTGTATATTTATATGTCCTGTACAGTGCATTGACTCTTTACTGAATTGATTTCATTTTATGAGTAATGTCTGAAATGTCAGATTATTTCCTGTTAAAACCGAAACATCCCTGCATTCTCATGGACAATTTATTTGTTTTTAATTTTGTTGATCTCTTAATATTTGTATCATACAGTAATTGTATTACTGTACGTGGGTTTATTATATTTTACAGTTGACACAGGATTGTAAAATACTAATTTCCTTAAATATCCTATTGATATTAAATTTGTGAAAAGTCTCAATTCCATTGTGAAGTAAACTTTAAATTCAATGCTACTGTAGGCATTTCTACTGTATTTCATGGATTGTCAGGGGGAGTTTCAGGAATTCTAAATACTGTAAAGGGGCCAAGGGAGGAACTTTTAGAGATGGAAGGACTAAACATTCTCAGTACCACCATGGTTGTTTTGTGGCTGGTCCCTCCACCTCCCCTCCCCCACCACCCACATGTGAATCTACCTATGTCTACTATCTGTAGTTTCAATCTTTGTGAATCTCTCACATTTTACTGCAAAATGAAGTGCAGGTGGTTATTGAATTGCAACTTCCTATTCCTTTTCAGGGTCAAGAAGAACTATAGTATGAGTGGCTTTGTGAATGATCATTATCAAGGAACATATTACAGTATTTGGGGGAGGGGAATTGAAGAAAAGCAGTAGATTTATAGAGTTCTGGAGTGAGCAGAGTGAATGATCACACATTTTGTTTTTGTTACTAAACAAAGAACAAAACACAGATTGCCTTTCAAGATGGAAAGATACAGTAAACAGGAAACTGTTCAGGAAATTCTTAGCATTGAAGGCTTATGTTACAGATCTTCAGCAGAAAAACATGAAGGAAAAAGATTAAAATCAAACAATATATGGATAGCAACCTTAAAACAAGAACTTAAAGGACAAGTTTACCAATTTGATATACTCAGGTACATAATAGTAATACTGCTGTAGGCCATATTTGAAATTACGAATCTTGTGCAGGTTTGTTACGTACAGTAGACGCCCTGAACTAAATTTGTGGTGACGTGCCAGGTGCATTGCTCATCCTAGCTTGGCAGCAGGTCATTGTAATGCATACTGTAGCTTATAAAGCTTTGTCCACAGTATAACCATTGTATGCCCATATATAGTCATGATGTCCCTATATATGGTCATGATGTGATGTCATCATAACCACAAAAAACCGTTGTATGCATGCCCATATATAGTCATGATGTCCCTATATATGGTCATGATATTAATATTTAATGACCAAAGCACTTAAAAGAATTAACAGGATTATTAATGTCATTCTTATTTTTGTACATCACAGCTTTATTGCACAATACAGTATAAAAATATTAGGCAAGACTTTCTTTATACAGTACTTTGTTTCGCAAACTTAATCTTTTAAAGATGGCCGGAGGAGGGCGAAAAAAAAAACAAAATTTTTTTGCCAAAAACATCCAGATGGAGGAGAAAATAAATATATTTTATTGTTGAATGTACACAGTGTAGTAATGGGATGGTTAAATGCTTTATTGTACATTGGAGATTTCAAGGCAGCGGCGGGCGTAAAAAAAAACACAAGGAAAAACTTTTTTTTCCTGAAATTTTGATTTTTTTTTCGTGGCGGCAGATGCTTTAATTGGCCAAAAATAAAATTTAATTTTTATTTGAAATCATCATTATTGGCAGGTGGCAGGTTCGCTAAACAAGGGAAAAAAATTCTTGCCATAATAAAAATAATTGCAATATTATCATACAGAAGCAAATGATAAAATAAACTTTGGTATTCCTTGATGGAGAAACTGCAAACAAACTGCGCGTAAGATTTCTACCTGTATACACAAGAGCTCTTGAAATTAACCTAATTTTCTGGTCTTTATTGCTCTTCAGGTTTCAGAATTAAATGCGAAATGACGAAATTAGACAATAACAAAATGAATTTGCTGCACAAGGCTTCTTGTTTTTTGCATACGGACTTTACTCTGTACAGCAACAAGCACACATGACAAATAAAAAGCAAACTACGGTACAGTAGGTCTACTGTATGCATTTTTACCGATTGATTGAGGAAATTGACTCTGTTTTATTGATTCTTTAATAAAGAGTTTTTAAATTTTTAATTTCTCTACTATTTTGTTTACAGTGGCAGTGCTATGGGGTGGGGGTTATTAACCCCAGATATTTATCTTTCCCCACCCCCCCCCCACAAAAAAATGAACATAAAAATTGAACAACAAAGGACACTGGCCACTTAAAATCAATGCATACAAACTGTTTACACATTTGCGGTTTGCTTTGGGAAAACATATTTTAACTGCCCTCTAACTTGTCTCCCACCCCACCGAACTTCAGATGCAGGTGCTGAAACTGTTTGTTTACAAAAAATGTATGCTACCGTACCAAATACGGCATAGGTACGTGAGATGTTGTGACAAAATGAGTCTTGCATGCCATGAAGTCATCTTGACAATGTTTCAGAGTTTCTGATTAAAAGTTTAATACATTTCACTATAGGTGTTTTTTAAAGTTCCTAAATGAAATTGCATATTAGAAATTTAAACACATTTGGGAAGTGTAACTAAAATATTTCAGCTTTACTGTATATAACAAAAGAATCTCCTCAGTAAACATGGTTTTAGCTGGCCAAAAAAATGTATTAGCAAATTGGCTAATTCAGTATGAAAATAATTAGCCAAGTACAAATATGATTAGCCAAAACAAGAGAACATAACAATGACATCTTCAATTCCATTCATTCTGGTTAATTTTGAATAAAAATATTTACCAGTTAGCAACATACAGATTTTATTGGGATTTGGAGTACTTGGAATGGCAGCTTAACCACTGTTTTTAAAACAGGTTTAACTTTTATACAATCCAACACTTAGTATTAAATTCACAAAGTGCCCCAAATAATAATTGAAAAATCATACTATACAGTAATTGCATCTATGAAGAATGAGCATTCCAGTTTTGAACACTAGAACGAGTTAAAAACCTGTCAATTTAACAAAAGGTCTACAAACAAACTATTAAAATCGACCAAACAAGTGGGAGGTTTTGCCACAAAAAGAGTCTCTTGGTATTTTAAACATGAACAATGGGCTGTAACACATAGATCATACCCTTCAGTAAGCCTACTATAATTTAGGATCTCTGAATTCTAGGTGGGTAGTAGAACCACAAAGACCAACCATCAATGTAAAAAAACATTACAGTACTTCTGAGAATATTAAATCACTTCTAATATAAACTCTGAATTTTCCTGGTTGAGAAAATAAGTTTAAAATATAAATAATATTAAGACAATACAGTTTAAAGACATTAATTACAAGATAGAATTCGCTGTGATTTTTGCGTGCAAATTTTGCAACAATGCAGTAAGGGCACCCTCGCGCAAAAGTGATTGTTTTTCAACTTTGACATCAAAGATCGTTAACTTAAAAAATAGCGCATTTGCATGCAAATTCTGTAACAACCATGGTAACAACTAGGACGAGTAAAAGTTAAATAATTAATTTCTAGTGTGATGTCATGGTCAAAATGTCATCACTAAACATAGGCATACAGTATTTATGTTTTGGCAAAAACTACTCATCAGTATACTCAGAAAGAGACAGGGCGTTTACTGTATAGTACTGTATTTGTGTATATATTGTATCTTTTTGTGTTACCTTAATAAAAAATTATTAAGTTATTTTAAATTCACTCATGAATTTTTTGCATTAGAAATCATGCTTTTCAACATTTACCCACGATGAAAACGAATAGCGTAAGTGTGAAACTTTATAGTATCATTTTTTAATACTTGGATCAACAAATTATATATAATTCTTAATATTAACTAATGGTATTATGGTTTTTAAAATGTATTTCTTCTCCATGATCGACACTTGTGGTACTATCAAATTGCAAATTTAAATCCCCCTTCAATAGTTAAAATTGAGAACAGGTTTGTGTTACACTGTAAACAGTATAAATACCCTAATACTGATATCGGATGACTTTTTTAATGAATTAAATATTGAATATTGAAATAATAAAAGTTAAATCAAACTACAGTAAAACCCTAATAAAAAGACATCTTAAGAACCAAATATTAGCCAGCTTAGAGTCTATTAAGGAGTCACCAAATCTGGGATTTGCCATAATATTATTACGGTATATTCAGTATATAATAAAGGGATATTTTCTATTGCTTCATGGCTAAATAAGTGTCCCCTTAATTATAGGTGTGTACAGTACCCTTAACCCTTATCGTGTCGTAGGCGCAATAGTGCGACAGCGAAAAATTTACCGTTGAATGCCCTAGGCGCGCTAGTGTGACACATCCAAGTATACGTGGATTTCGCCCTCTATACCATCTATATATCATTCTGATGCTCATTTGTTTTTGTATCCGGGTTACTTACACTTTGAACTTCTCGAATAAACAAAAATCTTGACAACTTTTATTGAAAAATATTTTATAAATCAAACAAAAATATCAACTTATTTTTGAAAGTTTCAGTGTGGCTGCGCAGCAGCGATATACTGTGGAACGAGCCATACACGATGTTTTTGATGATAATAGTGTGGATAGAGACCAGGAACATTTTTGTGGAATTATAATTGTGTTTCTGTAGCCTAGTGAGAGTGATGAAAGTGATGGTTATGATGGGAAAGAAGCTAATATCGCCGGTAGTGCAGCGGGGACGAGGTTGGACTACAGTAGGGCCTAGCCTAGGCCTAGACGAAGTTAGGCCTAGCCTATACAAAGAAATAGGCCAAATTGGATGGCGGAAACGGAACATTTTCCTGATTGTAAAACAATTTTTTTTACATACCAGTATCACATATAGAATATGTGCTATGAGGATTATTTTTTTTATAAATAGTTTTTTGTTTTAGGGTTCAAGAAATATGTGAAAATTTCATTTAAAGAGAGATACTAATTTCTGCTGTGTAATTATGTAGTTTTGTAAAAGTAAATTGGCATGCCAGAAGGTCACGCACCAGCTATTTTCAGCATGATAAGGGTTAATATGGGGCATCTATTTAATACAATTGAAGGGTTCTACAATATAGTTCAAAGTATAAAATATTGTTAATAATTAACAGATATAATTCCAATTGTCTAATAAAAATTTGAAGAATACAGTACGTCACCTTTGCGAAACCAGAAATTTGAATCCCAAGGAGGAACTTTTACAGATGGAGGTTCGAGAGTCTAATGAAAATTTATAATTATGGCACTTTATAATTGTCTGAAATGGCACTCTTAGGCCTAATAATTTTCCTTTATATTTCAAAATTAATAAACAATTCAAATGTTAAATTACAGTACAGATGCTGTACAGTAAATTTACAGCCAAGTTTAAAAAAGAAAAGCAGTTTCTCGTCCTAAATAATCTGAAAAAAGGAGAACGAGTTCACTTTTTTTCTATATTTTTTTTATCCAAAATGGCAAATCTAAGATGGTCGATGGGAAACAGCTACTAATTTCTCAATTTTATACCATTGTAGACACATTGAAAGCAAATAACAGAAGCACTAGCCATGATTCATACTATGCTATGAGAGGAACTTTTACTGATGTGAGTTAGCCAGATTTTCGTACATTTTGTAAAATAAAGGAATTTAAAATAAAATTTTGTTACAAAATAAAAAAAAAAAAATTGGTGAGGCAAAGAAAATAGATGCGTCGAGGGGACGAGAAACTAGTAATTATTTGATTTGGCCTAATGTAGAATATGAAATACAAAGAAAAAATAAAATGGAAATCAAGTATTATAAAATTAATTTAGTCTATTTTACGTATTCCTAATTCGTAATTTAAATTGAAATTTTATATACTTACAGTACAATAAATCAAACAGTATTTAATATGAAAATTAATAATAAATAAATAATGACTGGAAAAATTGATTTTCATATTATGAGAAGATAAATGGAAAGAACAAGAGAAAAAAAACAAACAAATAAAATGTAAATTAAAGGTAGTTTAAAGTGATTAAAATAAATTAGTCTACTGTAATTCCATGTCTAGAAGAATTAATTTATTTTATAAACTGACAATGAATAATATTGATTACCAAAACCTAACAAATTAATGCAAATTACAGAATATATAAAAACAACTTATTGCATTTAGAAGTTAGAATATAAAGTGAATAAAACAGAGTTAGAGTATGTATAGGCAATTCCACTTCTCGAAAAACAAAATTATGAAGCAATAAATCAGATTCAATATCAAACTTTTCACATTAAATGCAATTGATAAAATATTAGATATAGGACATTCAGATTCATATTACATTTCAAGAAAAATTACCATAGACAAACATTACATACAAAATATTGGAATATACTATACAGTAGTTTCATCCTGTGTTTGTTGTGAATTAAAACTACCGTGTTTGGTTTGAAAATAAGAAATTTTATTATTTTAAATCAAACTCAGGAAAAAAGAGAATTGATTACATAGATAATGGATCAAATAGATAAAAATCAAAACTAACGAAACAAATTTATATTTATTTTAATGTTGTTTTTATTTTTCAGTGAAAAATTAAAAGCGTTTGTGTTATTATGCTACTTTATGGTCCTCATCAATGTTATTATTAATAAATCAATTGATGTATTGCCAAATAAAATTAATTATTGGTTGCAAGCCTGTGATTGGAATTTATTTTTGGTGAGGGAACTATATGCCATATTCACTATTTTTGCTATATAAATATTCTATATTACAGTAGTTGTAAAAAGGCTGATAAACTAAAATTCTTATTTAACAAGAAGCATGAGTCTCCGTAAAGCATACAGTAGTTTGATTTATATTTCCACCTCTGCTTTGATTGTAGGCTCCAAAATTTTATGAAAGCCAGCATAGAGCGAGGAAGTGAAAGTAGCAATTACTTTTATTTTATCTCAGGCTCTATGTTATATACAGTACTGGTACTGTATGGTAATATTGTCTACTTTCTAGGTTTATAAGGCAGTTTTAAATAAACATGTTTAATATTGCGCAAACATTGAACCAATATATTTGATATCCTTCACCCGTCTAAACATGATTTTAGCAAATTAAACAGATTATCTGATTATAATTGTTAATATAAATGTACAGATTCTAGACTGTACTGTACAGTAAGTGCATGTGATATACTGTAAGCCCTGAAATCTGCCTCACATTTAATAATAATAATAACAATAATAATATAATAGTAATAATAATAACAATAATAATAGCATTAATCTAACAGGCAAAACTTGTTTCAACAAAAGTCTGTGTAGAAAAGAGCCAACAAATTTAACAAATTAAAATTAACAATTGGAAAAAGAAACAACATGGGCATAACAAAAGCTGAACAATTCAGTAATCTATAATAAAATTAGACTGTCTGTCTGTCAGTGTCAATTATCAATCATCATGGTTTTTCCTTTCAAAAATATCATAATAAAGATTAACAAAAATATATTCCCCAAAAATATAATAATAACTCATACACATACAGGAGTACGTTCTTATACTTTACTGAGGCTTTTCTTACGAGTTTAATCTGTCCAAGAAATACAGGAAAGGGAACTCCTAGGCCTAGCCCTCTTTTCCACCTTCCTATTGTAAGACGTGGATAGAGCGACTGCTGCAGCTGTGCTAAGGATCGCTGTCACAGTGCCAGAACACACAGTAAACAAACAACAAAAAGAAAACACGAAGATTTCGACGATGGCCTAGCACGTTTTTTACACCTGATAATAAAATCACTAACAAACATATATCTCTCTATAATGAAAAGTTCTTTTAAACATACCTTTTTCAAGATTTACGAATATACTGTAATTACCACACAAACTCGAAAACAACTAAACTCACAACGTCTGCTTTCTCTCTTCTTCACGTCTCCTTTTCCTGAGAGAAACACAACAACTATTGATTGTGTTCCTCATTGCGATTCGCATTGCAGTCGTGCCGGTTCGTAAATTGACCTTCTTTAGAAATTTAACTTCAACGTGTGACGCACAGCACACATAAACAAGGATTTTTTAACCTGACTTTTGTGAAATATTTAAGGTTAGATGTTGTTATTTCGTATGGTTCTTCGGCCAAAATGTGTATTCTGGATACGCTTGTATTTTTATTGGATGTTATGAATGAAAGTAACCATGTATTTCGTGATTTCAAATTTCCACCCCGGCCTGAGTGAGCTGAGTCTCACGGAACTGAGTTCATCTGGCCTCGGATAAATTAGACCTAGGCCTAGCTAGGCCCTAGTACAGTATTGTTGACTGTATTATTAACTTGGCCAAGCAGGCCTACTAGGCCTATATTAAGTAGGGTAGGCCTAGTTGCAAAGAGTGTTTATCATCACATATTTTCCTATTTGCTCAAGTCAAAAAACATTTAAGGTGAACTAGGGCCTAGGCCTCTCTAATTTTGTCTTTGAAATTTATTAATTTAAGGCAGTGGCTATTGTTACACCATTCTTAAAAACAATTCTTAATTCTGATTGGATGTTACTGTATGTATGGATTGGATTAGAACAATAACATCTAATGAAAAATAATTAGTATAGTTTAAAACTGCTGAAAGCATAGCCACTGCCTTAATTATATTTACCTCTATATAACAAAGCCTACAGTATAAAGTACAAGGTATAAGATACAATTACAAGATAAATTTATTGTCCAAGTAACATGTGATACATTGAAATTCTACATTACTGTAAAAGTGTTGGGCTACAGTAGGCTCCTTTTGCCATATATGGTGGAAATTCAATTTCCTATTTGATTGATTGACGACACTTACTTTATATGTTGTATCTTTTCAGATAAACAATCAACATGGAAAAACTAGAAGGGTTTGAGTTCTGGAGGAAAACCTTAAATCAAGCACACCTAGTTGTAGCACCGATGGTTGATCAGAGCGAGCTTGCGTGGCGCCTGTTGAGCCGAAGACACGGTGCTCAGCTGTGCTACACACCGATGCTGCATGCATCGGTGTTTATACGAGATGCTCATTATCGTCGTGAGAATCTTGTAACTTGTCCGGAGGACAAACCTCTGATAGTACAGGTAGCGTTATTAGTTGTACAGTGTGATTGTTCACAATTGAGATTCATAAATTAAATAATTCATGAACTGTTGATGAATCTGTTAAACATTAAACAAGATCTTATTTAATAGATGTCACACATAATTTGTTATTACAAAATTTAAATAAGAAATACAAGCACATATACAGGAATATCCCCTGATATTTATTTTTAGTGGACAGTTTAATTGCTACCAATAGTATAAATGTATTATTAATGTTATCATTTTTTAAAATTTATTAACATTCATTATTATTTGATAGTTTTGTGCAAATGATCCCGAGATATTTGTGAAAGCGGCCAAGTTAGCAGAACCGTTCTGTGATGCTATTGATCTCAATCTAGGCTGCCCTCAGTCGATAGCTAAACGAGGTAAAGTTCCATTCACATATTTCTGATATACACGTATACATACCAAAAGCCCCAGCTGTATGTTGGTGATGATGTTGTAATTAATGTTGATGGCATTTATTTTGTATTATTTATTTTAAGTACAGTATAGCACTTTTCACAATATCAAAGCATTTGTGACTTTAGGATCAAATCAAGATGATAATAATAATAATAATAATAATGATAATAATTAAATAATAATACTAATAATATTAATAATAGTGTAGAATTGTATAGCACTGTTATTCATCAAACAAGATGCTCAAGCTGCTTGATATGTGAACTAGTGGCTTTCATCACCCCTAAGGGTCCCTTTGTGTCTATGCTACCTGGTAAACTGCTACCAGCAACTCTCGTTGTCCACCGCAGGAGCTGCCTGTACCAGTACACCGGAGTATCCCCCTACTTAAATGATGTACTGGGTTCTTTCTAGAGCATATGAGCCATTACGATAGTGTACATCGGGCCTACAGTTTATAATCCTTATCCGAGAAGACTTATTCCACCTCTAGAACTATAGGCGAGCATGCTGTCCTGCCTTAACCGCTCGACTATTCAACTCGCTTTATACCCTTTCTTCTTTCCCTGTAGGTCATTACGGAGCATTCCTTCAGGACGACTGGGATCTGATATCAAGGATGAGTAAGCATGGATGCTATATTTCTATTTTTTGCCCCAATAACAATAATACTGTAGTTTTAAATTATTATTGTTTTTTGCCACATACAACAGATAGTACACTTGCCAATTATATAAATGTGTGATTGTCTGCTACAGAGAAGAGCCATTTTCTAATTCATGGTAACAAAACATTAATATAGATAAAAAGAACGCATTGTGTACACTAAAGTCGGGTACTCACTGCAAGCGACGGTCGACGATCGACGTGAATCTAGTATGTGGAATGCAAAGCCATGACTTTCGTGAAATGGATCGTTTTTAATGTCACGATCAGTTAACTACTGCCACTGACAATCAGCAGACAATGTCACGCCATCTAGCGCTCAACGGGAGCTGAGTCCGATTTGTCAGCCACCGGTCGTACAAACATCGTACATCAGAGTGCGTGCCCGACTTAAGAGATCCTGGCAATATATCCTCTATTTTTTAAATGAATAAAATCGGGATTTTTTTTGTATATTTAGTTAAACTAGCCCATAAGGAGCTAAGTGTACCTATAACAGCGAAGATCAGGATTTTCAATGACCGTAAGAAGACCGTTGATTACGCCAAGATGCTGGTGGATTCAGGCTGTCAGCTTCTCACGGTGCACGGCAGAACGCGAGAGATGAAGGGTCCTGTTACTGGAGTTGCAGACTGGAGCGTTATAAAGGAAGTGAAGTGAGTCAATGCTGTTATTAAAAACATATCAGGTGCCACTGGCACTAGAAGAACATGCCTAAATATGGTCATGATGACATCACATCATGGACATATATAGGCACTTCATGACTATATATGGGCATACAAGAGTTATTGTCAAAGAAATGTTGATAATCATCACAGAGCCTTTCACACACTGGTCTTATTTAAGCAATTTAATGCTAAGAATTTTGTTGTAATTTCATTAAAATATAATAATATTTTTTTATCAGAGAGGCTGTGTCTGTGCCTGTATTCTCTAATGGTAACCTTCAGTACCATGGTGATATAAAAAGGTGTCTGGATGAAACTGGAGTAGATGGGGTCATGTCAGCAGGTCAGTCTACTCAACGTACTTGTTGCCATGGTGATGACCTCTATGCCAAAGCAAAGAAAATGTAATCCTTTTTTTATTTTACCTTTTTTTTTTCCTGCAGAGGGCAATCTCTACAACCCAGCATTATTTGAAGATCGAGACCCTCCGGCATCATGGGAAATGTCAGAGGAGTACCTAGCTATCGTTGAGAAATACCCATGCTCTCTTTCCTTCATTAGAGGTCATTTATTTAAACTTTGGCATAAGAGGTAATAGAATTACAGCATAACCATTTTTAGAAAATGAATGAACTATGCAAATGTAATATAACTAAGAAATAATTTGTACAGTAACTTTCCCCCTTTCTAAGACTTGACCTTTGAATGGGCATTGCCTGGCTCCAGATACTACTACCTTTGTAGTAGAGGATAAATCAGTTTTGAGTTAATTATAGACGGGTTTAAAGGATGTCTATAAACTAAGAACATTCAGTTTTGCAATTTTTTACCTTTAAGACCACAAAATACAAGAAAATCCTTACTTATTTTTACATTTCAGGTATATTAACTTGTAATTCTGTCATTATGTTTACTTTTTTGTTCATTGTAATGTATGTATAATACAAAAAAGAAATAAATAAAACAACAAAATAATGTTTGAACTGGGAAAGTGAGGGTAGATGAAACAGAAAATGGCAAGTGGGGACATAAAGGTGGGGGTGGGGGTGCAGAAATATATGACAGTAGGTAAACTGATCTGATAACAGTAAGTAAGACTTTTGTATACCTTGTTAGTGCCTGCCAATAATGATGATCTTGAATAAAAATAAAATGTTATTTCTGGCAAATTAGCGCACCATCTGATACGAAAAAAATGGAAATTTCAGAAAAAAATTAAAGTTTTTCTTTATTTTTATAACACCCGCCGCTGCCTTGAAATTCCCAAAAATAAGATATGTATATTTCTTCCTCAGTATATAAATTTAAAGCATTTAACCATGCCATTACTCATTCACCAATAAAATTTTGTTTTTATTTTCTCCTCCATCTGGGTGTTTTTGGCAAATACTTTTATTTTTATTTTTTTGGTCCTCTTTAAAGAATGTAAGTTCGCAAAACAAGGTAAAAAGGTCTCACCTTATCATGTTTTTTCAGTCTTGAAGTTCATAGTGAACTGAGAATTCAGATGGCTAGAGCTAAGAGCATTCCTGCATTGGCAGATATTTGTCGAGACCTAAAAGAAAGGGGAATGCGGGATAAACAACTGATGGAAGAGTCCGCAGAGAAGCAGCAAGTGCCATACTGGATTTGCCAGCCTTACGTAAGACCTAGGTATTTTAGACTCGCAAAAGAAATCGATATTCAACAGTATTAGTGAACATAATGGTGGTGATCTAAAAGTTATGCTCCGGAGGAAATAAACATTTTAATATGTTGTACAACTAATTTTTCTAAGACACAAAAAGCATATTAGACATAAAAACTCGGAAGCGGTTAATGAGATACAGATTTTTGGAATATTTGAAAAACTGAGGAAAGGGGCGTAACCACCCATTTTTTGCACCTACCAGGTACCTACTTGTACTCCTGGGTGGAGAAAGACAACCGTAGGTAAAGTGCCTTGCCTAAGGACACAATATACAGCAAGGGATTTAACCTTTGACCTCAAGGTTGAGAAGCAGAACCGCAACTAGCCTTTTACTAATTTGAAGTAACAGCATGAAATTCAAAACCAATGGGTCACTGTATCTACTGCCCTCACAAAATAATGACAATGGAAAACGGTTAAAAATACAATTAAAGAATTAGAATAATAATTATGTATCACATTATTACCATGGTAATTTGAAATCTTGGATTGTTTTTATCAACCGTTGACATTTAGATTGTGATGAAAATGTTAACCTTATAGAAAATTTAATCTTACAGTCCTGAAGTAACCGCACAGAGGAAATTGGAAGAATCTCGCAAACGGCCATTGTTATCGGAAATAGGTGGTGACCTGTATGACCCGACATTATCTAGAAAACAAATGAAACGCCTTGTTAGGCAACCTAATAAGAACTTCAAGGAAAAAGGTGAGGGCGCTGTTACACATACGCACATATCGTCACGCTTGTACGACACATGCACATGAAAATAAATGAACGTAAATATACATAGACTGTTTTTTACAGATGCTGAGAAACTTTGCCGAATACAGGTATTATTGGTCTTTGACGAACTAGGCCTAGGTCTAGTACCTGTAAAGCCATGATGGAAATGATTTAAGACTGTTTTAAGCCTCCACCGAGTAGGCTTTTAAATTTCAGATGGCTAACTGGTTAGACTGCAGTATAGCAATGGTCTATAATCATAGACCAGTAGTGACATCATGATTATAGTTGGTTAAGCGTTAAGTCCGTCTACAGACCGCTGATAGCAATCCGACCCTATTCTCATCACTGACTTATTTTAGACTATTTTGAAGTTCTCTGCTTTTTATATGATATTATCACACAGAAATTTTATCTTCCCTTGGTTTAGGAATGAAATTCAAGCCCTGCGTAGACTGTGGCAACCCTAAAGGATTGCGATGTATATTTGATCTGTGTAAAGCATGCTGTAAAGGAAAGGCCCATAAAGCAATGGTAGACTGTGTTGGTAAGTATTACATGGCACTACAGTTTTCTCCTAATTATCAAAATCTTGTATACCCATATATATTCATTATGTGCCTATATATGGTCATGATGTGATGTCGCATGTTTTTGTCAAAAAGAATTTGATCGTCTGGACAGGGGTTTATATTTATACAGTGACATTTCAAAGTGATATTATTTCAGGAGTATTTTTTACTGCCTGGATTTAATATATCTAATAAATCTTAATAGTGTGTGACAAATTCCATCGTCCTATTGGCAAATGTCATACTTTTGGATTAAAAAAGATTTAAAAAAAAAGTTATATTAGTTTTCTATGTGCTATAGCATTAACCTCCGTACGTCATGTCGTTATGGACTTTCGTAATTGCGATGGAAATTTGGATCAAACACCTACTGATGACATGATCTGCTCCCTGGGGGAATACCCCATAACTTTGCAGCTAGATAGTAATTACTACATTGTCATTCAGAATTACTAGGCACCCACTTACACTGTTGGGCACAGAGGAAGAACTGCAGTTAAAAGCCTTAGACAAGGACACGGACAGGTACTCAGCCTCAGGCCTGGGGGAAAAAATAAATTATGCTAACCATGTAAATATTATGTAAAGTTTCCAGTCTAAATATAACCTATTGTTTTTAGTCCAGTAGCTTAATTGTGTGAAGGAAAAAATAATAAAAAATCTAAAACTTAGACTTGGTAATACTGGGTTGTTGTCTGACAGGGTATAGTTTTCCACCACAATAGCCCTTAGAGTAATCTGTAATCCATGTAAAGGTGCTATATAATTATCGATTTTATTATTATAAAACAGCAATAAAAAAAAAAATTTAAAAATGCAATTGGGGTAATGTATTACTCCTCTGATCATGCACACTTATTCCACTCCTGGTTCAGATGTGGTTCCAGAAATTTTGCCGACAAGGGTCCAACATGTCTGACGGAGGGGTCCAAATCAAGGGGCCGACTAGAGCCTCAGAATGAAAAGTCCCTGGTAGAGTTCATGGGGATAGTTTATATGGTATGGGTCCAAATTATGCGTTTAGACCACAATATTCTGGGATTGGCAATCAAAATAACATTATTTGAATAGGTAAATTATTTTTTTTAAATTTTTGTTCCGACGAAATTGTTGTGGCGTCGACAGGGGGGTCCAGGCCTGTGTCGGCTACATAGGGATGCGGGGGGGGGGGTGTGTTATGCTGTAACTTTGCAGCTAGTCATCAGTTCATTAGCATTCAAATCTATAGATACTCCAGTGACTAGCCTCGTTTCTGATTGCTTGAATCATTTATCATATGAGAGCCATATTAAATTGGTTTTATTTTTCTTGAAAGATATATATTGCATTTTGATTAAATGATATTATTTTTCTTAGGGATTGCACCTCCAATTAACTCAACTGTGATTTCTGATTTTTTTTTTTTATCACAAGGTCATAACTTACTTTTCAAGACAAAAATGGAAAAACGATTGATCTGGGAAGCAAAGCAGAAGTTACTGAACGAACAAAAGGAAGATTCCAAAGAAACGAACAATGAAACCCAACAGAACCATGACAACAATAGTAAAAAAGAAGAGGTGACAGGGCTAGAAACACAATTGAACACAGAAACATTAAAGAAATAATGTCTGCAAGTATGTGAGGATGACCAGGGTTAACTACAGATTGTTTTTACAGCGCACATAGCAACCAAGCAGTCAGAACAAATATACCGGTTGTGAATGATTGAAGCCCCATTCGCGGCAAAATTTCACTAGGGAAATTATTAATTATTATTATTTAATTATTAATTATTAATCTTACTATTCCTAAAGTTTGAGTTTAAAATTCAAACTGTAAAAGGCAAAATTTAGCCATTTTCAAATGGGAGTTAGTGAAAATGAATAGGAAATTGCCAAAAATAAAAGCATTTTTCTCAAAACTGGATTTAAGAAAGTTGAGAAGATGACAATTATTCTAACGGTCATAACTTTGCTTCCAGACACCCGATTGAGTTCATTTAACTGTCATTTTAAAGTAAATGATATGTTCTATAACAAAAACTCATTTTGGCTTGAGGACGAGTTTACAGCCTGTTTGTGAGCTTGGGAGGAAAATGTCTTGATAGACAGTAGTAAACATATGTGATATAACATAATGCACAAATAGCTTTACCCTATTTATTGGAATAAAATATTTTTGTAAGGCGTGTTTATCAGAGGGATGTGTGAAATGTACACATTATATTGTGAGAAATTATAAAGTATGTGTTATTTTGTATTTATTGTGGCTTGTGAGGTGTGAGAAAGGGGGGATTTAGATGATAAACCTGAACAATAAAATTCAATATTTCTGATGTTTACTTTAGAGTATGAAAGTAGAGCAAGAACATTTTCCTGTCAAATTTCCAAATGCAGAAATAACATCATTCCTATATTCAATATTTGGATTATTGTAGTGTCTAATTTGATTCTATTTAAATGAGATATTAGAATACATTTTTAAGGTTCCTACAAGCTATAGCATGGAAAGAGGACTAAACTGCTCAGCTATCACTTTATAAACATTAAACAATCAAAGATGTTGAATGGAATTAAGTGAAATAAAAACCTGACAATTGCTCAAACTCAATGTTGTATTTTTTCTATTAAACTAATTTATATTATAGATTGTGCATTATTTCTGTATCTTTGTCAATCTCAGAGACCTATAAAATGTATAAAGTTTAATGCAACAAATACATACAGTAGATACATTAATACATACAGAAATCACTAACTTAAAACCTTGAATAGAAGCCCATCTCATTCAGAAGCCCATGGGCTACTCAAGATAATAATTGGCTTCTTTCGAGATAGTACTGACACTAACGCTGATGATTATGATAGCATGTCCATATCAATAGTATTTTAAAGTACTAGTTCTCCCCCCCCCCTTTTTAGTATGCAACAGTAATCAAGTAAGAAACAAAATTCTATTTATATTTTTCCACCCTTTGACGATCTTCAAAAAAAAAAAGTTTGTGAAACAAGGTATAAAAAAACTCTTTACTAAATCATTATGTTTCTCCAAGGCTAGACATTCTACCATAATAGTAATGGAATATGCATACCATAAATGCAATAGTCAGGACTTGCCATTTTAATTACAAAATAATTTGTAAGATGTGTATAAGAGACAGAAATAACATTATTTGAATAGGTAAATTATTTTTTTTAAATTTTTGTTCCGACGAAATTGTTGTGGCGTCGAC